TCTGAAGAGAAAAAAAAGCAAATCAACAAGCAAAAAATAAAAAATGGAAGTGAAACGACTTAACCAACGCGTCTGACGAAATAAAACTTGAAAAAGAAAGCGTCCATAAGCGAAAAAAAACAAAAAAAACAGGCTGTTCGATCAATTACTGATACCCCCCAAATCGCCGCGTTCCTTTAAACGCTGGGGGCTCGATTGCCATCACCATCATCAGAGAGAAAAAGAATAAACGCCGTTTTGCAAGCAGTGTGCATATGTTGTGGTCGTGCATTCAACTTTGGTTCCACCATGGGGAAGTATGCAAGCTACATGACTGGATTTAAACTGAAGGCAGTGCAGTACCCGCTGGAGCACGGCAACCGGGATACAAGCAGGCACTTCAGTGTAGGAGAAACCAGTATTCGGTACTGGAGGGATCAAGAAGAAAAGCTCAAGGCAACGAAAAAGACACAATGGGCTTTCCGCGGTACCAAGACCTGCAGGTATCCGAACGTCGAAGAGCAACTGGTCCGGCATATACGGGAGCTACGACAAGACAGCTGTGCTGTGTCACTGAATATTGTGCAGACTGAGGCGCATAGAATAGCTCGAGCGCAGCGCATCAAAGCAAAAGAGTTCGAAGCCAGCTCCGAATAGACAACTCGTTTCATGCGGTGCCATGGCCTCGCACTGCGAAGGCGGACAACCTTGTGCCAGCGCTTGCCCGCACCATATAAGGACAAAGTGGTGGACTTCCTCCTATTAGTTATAAAGCTCTAATAGCAGAAAGACTTCATTTTGTCCCAGATTGGCAAGGCTGAGCAGACCCCCCATTGCTTTGTATGCCGCGTTACATGACAGTAGAGGAGAAAAACGCACGGAGCGGTATTGTCAGAATGTCTGGCGCTGATAAACAACGATGCACCGTCATGCTGGCGGTGACAGCAGATGGGCACAAGTTACTGCCTTACGTTATTTTCAAATGTAAGACGCTCCCAAAAACAAATTTCGCTCAAGGCATCTAAGTCAGAGTCCAGGAAAAAGGCTGGATGAGCACAGAACTCATGGTGGATTGGGTGAAAACAGACAGGGGTCAACGACCGGGTGGTTTGTTGTTCCTGTCCATGCTTGTCCTGAACAGTTTTCGTGGGCCCATAGTAAACTGGGTACGACATGATCTGGCAGTGATTCTGGGCGGCCTCACATCGATACTTGCAGCCTTTGGACGTATCCTTGAATAAGCCTTTCAAGGACAATGTTCGAAGGCTGTACACTACCTAGATGGCTGGAAGACAACATCAGCTGACTCCAGGTGGTAACATTAAGAGGCCACCTGTGGAAATGCTGTGCACTTGAATCGTTAAAGCGTGGCAGGCGATCTCTGACGAAGTCGCCAGGAAAAGCTTCAAGAAGACGGGCATCTCGAACGCACTGGATGCGAGTGAGGATGACATGTTGTGGGGTGCGGATTATTCGGACACCGAAAACGAATGCCCGCTCGGCAAGGATGAATGTGTGCTCTGCGACTCAGACTCCGAATAGAGAAAAAGAGGAACACCTACAACTTTTGTGTAAATAAATTTTACATGTGTGTGTGCAGTTGACGGCTCTCGCTTGTTCATTAAAAGATACGCAAGTATGTTTGTTTTATGCTCAATTAATTAGTAAATGATGAAGTGGCCTTTTACTTAACAAATGTGCAGATTTAAAGCGCAAGAACCGAGTCGAAAACATTTTGGAAAATTTTGCCCTGCGTAATTGGTGCACCCCTAACTTCCAGCCAAATGTTCTGAAAAAAAAAAAAAAGTGAGCCAATTATGCGAGTAAATACGGTAACATTGTGGCTTTGTGATAGGACACTTGCTTGCCACGCGAACGGCCCGGGTTCGATCCTCAATGGGACAGAAAATTTTATTCTTTATTTTATTTGCCTCTTTCTTGGTGTTTTGCTCACGGACGATTTTTCGCTCACAACCAACGGTGCCGATGGCAGAATTTCTGAGACGTGAGCTCTCTAACGCTATCGCGTTAAAATTGACTTTTGTTTGATTGAACCGAAAGTATGAATTATCAGAGTTCAAAATTTTGCGAGTCTACTGTAGTTGCAACGATCGCCTTCCTTTTTTGTTAAAGCACAGTGGCATGCGAGCCTGAGAAGCATGGCTTTTGAGACGTGCAACCTCGGGACGTTTTTTAGTGTTTTCGGTTTCAAAACGCACGTCTCGGAGGCTACCCTTATTCTAGCTTTTCGCATTAAAGCCGCTGAAAGTGGTGGCTCCCAGCTACAAAGCCACAATTGACATCAATATCGTCAGTATGTCAACCATGGAGTTAATATGCAGTTAAACCCAGATATAACGAAATTGATGAATTCACAAGAAAATTTGTTATAAAGAGGTTTTTGTTATATGGAGGTTCTGTATGGAAATTCCGAAAATATAGGCACCAATTAAACAAAAGGGGGACTGAAGGCAGAGCTAACCCCAAACACTCATTATTTAGTAAAAAAAAAAATGCGTTGCTATTGCGATAGCAATTATATGGACACTCTCAGCGGGTTCTTGCTGTCCCCACCACGTTCCACAAGAAGTCCAAATTGACAACATGCCCCCGCGCAATTTCAACTTTGACAAGCGGGTAAAAGCGCGCGAGCACTGCTGAAGCAGAGATCACATGAATCGGCCCATCCGTATCGCTTGGAAAGTGCATAAGATCTCCCGCAAGTTAGAACTACCATCGAATGCTCAAACAGAAAGCAAACCACCTGTCTCAAACGAGCATGAAACAACGTGGGGAGGGAGGGGGGCGAATCGCTCGAGTAGCAATAATGAACTTGGATTTTAAGGGCGGTCGCGATCGCTGACGCGCTTGCTATCTCGGCGAGTATCAGTGTGGTTTCAACGCGAAGGAACTCTGTGAAAAGAGCAAACGCAATCGTTCCGGTCAAAGTTGAAGGCGCGCGATTCTCCCCACTGAAGGATAAGGGCGCGTGCACAAGCATCTAACCTCCGTCTCCCCCTTCCGCATTCGAGGGGCAAAATACACGTGGGAAATAAGCGCCCGTCAGCACATTGTGACGAGACGAGCGCAGGAACTTTTTCTTTTTCTTTGAGTTTTCATATATATAGGTACGTATACATATACTATACATATACGGTGAATGAAGGAGGCGGCGGCAAAAACCCAGCCCAAACTGCCCATATACATAATTGCATCGCAATAAAAAAAAAAACCGAACATTGTCGGGGGACACACGATGCGCGTAGTGAAACTATGCACATGCGCACGGCGTTGAAATCGAAGAATGAACGACATGGACACAGACACGATTACGGCGGAAACTATTGAGTAAAGCGCCCTCCATATGCAGCGCTGCCCCAGATATGTGATGCTAACTAAAAGCGTGGCACAGCTTACGCGCAAAAGTAGTTTTTTTTATTTTAGTTCAAGGGGGGGGGGGGGCACACCCGCGCATGCGACCGCAGCCTCATGCTACGCGGCCCGCCTGCCCCCCCGCTTGACACCATGACACCACTTCAGCAGCGGTGGGACAGCGGCGGAAGATGCATGCCCATACCAAAACAAGGAAATGCGTAGCAAAATTCCAAGATTGTCCGTGGGGTGGGGAAAAGTTGTTATATCGAGGTTGTCTCCTACAGTAATTTTGTTACATAGAGGTTGCAAATACATGTGCTCCTGGAGGGGTGTTATATGAAGGTTTGTTGTAAGCAGATGTTTAACTCTATGATGTCGACTGATGTAAACGGTGGAAAGTTGGCGTTGTTTACAATGAACTAGCCTTGTTTTTCACGCCTTGTGGACTTGTGTACCTCTGGCCTCGTTGTTGATAAATTCTTATTTGCGAGTTAAACTGAATTTGACCCGCAGGTAGCGATAAAAATTGTGACTGGCGCTTGGAGTGACGCCAAGCAAAGCACTTTCGTAAACTTACCTTGCGGGCCAGGTGACGACATCCTGATTGCAGATAACGGCATACGGTGCCTCGGTATAGTAAATTTTGCGACTTATCAGCATTTCCGGGCACCATCTCAGACAGTGAGTTACTTCATCGGTGCAGATGGCGACGTAGCTGTTTTGACTGCATCGATGCTGAGATCATGGCTGCCGTTGCCGATGCTGCGGAGTGTACCCATGCGGTTATGAATATGCCAACGCCTTCGCTGCCGCCACTTACCAACATTTTTTCGCGCTACAAAGCTTGCATTGGTGTTCTGTGTCAATCAACGCTGTTGAGGCCGAAGGAACCAAATACGCTTATTTGAAAAGCTTCAACGATATTGAAGATGACAAGAACTTGACAGCGCGCAAGAAGCAAGACAAGTTTACGGACTATTTTCCTGTGAAATAAGGTGCAGTAACTTGCAGTTCACACCTTGTTCTTCATTAAACTGTGAGCCAATCATTATGTTAGTGCTTGTAAGGATTTCCAAGGCCTGAAATGCTTTTTAGGCCTTAAATACGCATATTTTATAACTCGAGTCATTAATGTATTGAACGATTTCTACATCCCCTTCGAGTTCGATATATCCAGAATCGACTGTGGTAGCCATCCTATGATCAATCACAGCGACTTGTCCGAAAGAAGGGGAATAGTTCAAGATGCTCACTACTTTGTTACGACAAGGCCAATGAAGCCAGCAGGCAATTAAGCCATGGAAAGCATAGGGGGAGATTATTTGTTGTTTTCAGCAGGGGTGCAATGACTATGACCTTTATTGAAGAGAATTGGACATACTAAATGTGTAAAAGCACCCTTTCCCTCCGTGGCATCTGAAACCTTTAAATAAGGCACCCTGTGCTTTATTACCAACTCAGTTACGATAGTGGGCCCTCTTGTGCTCCACTCTGTTGGGTATTTGTGCGTTAAAGAATGTGTGTTTGAATCCCACTGAAAGAAGGGGTGCTTCTCCATCCCGTTCCTTTCAATTTAGGCAATGGCAGTAGACAACTATGCTACAATTGGCCTGTTCCCGAGGCATGAAGCAATCAAGAGAGAAAACCTCGGTGTAAGCGGTCTCGATGCGGTGTGCCTCGGAGGACACGTGGGTGTCCAGGTGCAGAAGACCGAGGAAGTTGAGGCACAGCGGTGGCGTCAGTCGGCACAGCAGCATTCCGGCAAAAACCAGGCTGTAAGCGTCGGTCAAGTGGTGAGGAGCCAGGTAGTAGTAGTTGAGCACTCGCACCCGAAACACCGTGTAGTAGGCGCACACGCACAGGTAGCCTAGGGTCACGATGCTCATGACCTGAAAGAGGCAGGGTGTCTAGCAAATTGCAAATCGAATTTTCCGACTTTTCTAGGTTTTTTTACTCACCACTACAGCTAAAATCCCCTGACAAATGCAACAAACACTATTTTGAAAAATATTGATATCGAATTAGACAAAAAGAAAACAGAAAACATGTAATATATTGATTTCACTTGCCCTTATTCTCTAAATGAACTGGTATCATGCTTTGAAAGTGCTAATTTGTTTTTGGAAATATATATATATATATATATATATATATGAGATATAACAGACAGTAATGCCAAGGAATGTACAGGGGAAGTTATTAGAACCAATGGAATGTAAATAAGAAGAAAGAAGAAAGAAAAGTGGATGAAAAAATTACCAGCTGTGAGCAGGAATCGAACCTACGACCTTCGAAGGTCGTAGGTTCGATACCTCATCATCGGCGAAAGAATGTTCTGCGACAATTTCACGACGCTCCAACTTCTGGACATTTAGGAGTCTCCAGAACTTATGACCACGTTCGATGACGAGAATTCTGGAAGGGTCTCTACCACTCCGTTCGCCATTACGTCGCATCTTGCGACCTCTGCCAGCGCCGAAAGAAGCCTACAACTCCCCCTGCCGGTCTTCTTCAACCTATTGAAGTTCCAGCCGAGCCATTTTATCGAGTGGGGTTGGACTTGCTAGGTCTCTTTCCTACTTCTACAACTGGAAATAAATGGATTGCAGTGGCCACAGACTATGCCACTCGGTATGCAATCACTTGAGCGCTACCAACCAGCTGCGCAACCGATGTTGCCGACTTCCTGCTGTACGACATTATTCTCCAGCATGGCGCTCCGACTCACCTGCTCACAGACCGTGGTCGCTACTTTCTATCTCGTGTGGTTGATGATCTACTCCGATCTTGTGCTACCCGTCACAACTTCACCACATCTTACCACCCTCAGACTAACGGCCTTACGGAGCGCCTAAACCGCACATTGACGGACATGCTTTCCATGTACGTATCTACCGACCACACTGATTGGGACATAGCTCTTCCGTTCGTAACCTTCGCCTATAACTCGTCGCGTCATGAAACAGCGGGCTACTCCCCTTTTTATCTACTCTTCGGACGTCATCCCTTACTGCCCTTCGACACACTGCTTTTATCAGATCACCCATCCTCCACTTCGTACGCTCAGGATGCGATCACCCGTGCCCTCACAGCACGCGCGGTAGCGCGTGCTCGGTTATCGTCGTCGCAGACAGCACAGAAGTCTCTTTATGACCGTCGACATAGAGATGCCGTTTTTTCTGCGGGATCTCTTGTTCTCTTGTGGCTCCCATCTCGATGTGTTGGCCTCTGCGAGAAACTACTATCGCCCTACCGAGTCATTCGTCAGGTCACACCTGTGACCTATGAGATTGCCGCTACCACAAACTCATCAGCTGCTGCACCTAGAACGGAAGTAGTCCATGTTTCTCGTCTCAAGCCCTACAACGCCGACTCGCTCATTTAACAGGCACCGAGACGGTGCCTTACGGGCCGGGGTGATGATACGTGTATAGAACTGTCGCCCCGACACAGCTGAATTGGCACCCAAATGAAGAAGACGACAACGTGGTTGTAGTGGGTTGGACTCTCGAGCTTCTCCCGTTGGCCTGCATGACTGTACGCTCTTTAAGCTGTTAGCAAGACCAGCTCTCAGTGAATAAATCTTCCCCGTAACAATATATATATATATATATATATATATATATATATATATATATATATACAGTCGCCGACCGTTTATTCGGACGCCAAAAATTAAGTCATTCCTGTTTATTCGGACATCTTCATGGCACCACCACTCTCCCCATTGATCCTAATGTAAACCCACGACCTGAAATTCGGAAGCCCCACTGTGCGCCATTCGATTATTCGGACTCCGTTTGACTGACCGGATGTGTCAAAGTACGCCATTACACGCTGACAGTGACGTTTACAATACGCTTGCTAGGTTGCTAGCACTGATATGCTGCACTAGCTATGGATGGATGTCGGGCCTGTGTCAAAATGCACGCAGAAATCGCCATTGCCGATCTCGAAGGCTATGTGTGGTGACGCTTCTTACTTTAAAAAAATAAGTTGCCAGTCGAGCGGCCAAGCCGCCTACAGAGTCTGTTCGCAGTGGCGTTTGTCAGCAGTGTCAGTCAGCTGATTCTGCCGGTAGGCCTGGTTCGTCTTGCTCTCTGTGTTCTCGCTCTCTTGCGTGTTCCGTGGCGCGCTGAAATGGCTACGACGCCACCCGTTGCTGCGCCGTCGGGAGTGAAGAAACGCGGCCAACGTGGGAGCTACAAGACGCTCACGATGACGAAGAAAGCGGAGATAATTCGCCAAGTAGAAGGCGGCCGACCTCAGTCTGAAGTGGCTTGAGAATTTTCTATTTCCAAGCAAACCGTCTCGGAAGTGTGCGTGTGTGCAGACATGACAGTTATTTTCGGGCGATAGGGCCTATAAAAGTGCCTTTTTTTCTTCGAGTAGATCCGTTTTTTCAGACTCCCGATTATTCGGACTTTTTTCGGTTCCCGTTGAGTCCGAATAAACGGTCGGTGAGTATATATATATATATATATATATATATATATATATATATATTGTAATGAATCTGAATAACGGACGCCTCCACCTTTGAGGCCTCAATGGAACGTTTGCCTTTGTTATTTAGATTACATTGTCGTCTTTTCAGCTGATTTCGCAACCCACTTAGCCCGCCTCGAGAAAGTCTTCGTGTGTATTTCTGCCGTGGGGCTGCAATTGAATCTGAAGAAGCGCCATTTCGCCGCTCGAAAGCTTAAGATCCTTGGCCACGTGGTTTCAAAAGACGGCATTCTTCCTGACCCTGCCAAACTTACAGCCGTTTCAGCGTTTCCCAAACCGACCACCATGAAAGAGCTCCAAAGCTTCATAGGCCTTTGCTCTTACTTCCAGCGCTTCGTCCGCAATTTCGCGACGATCATCATTCCTTTGACCAAGCTCCTCGCCGGCTCTAGAGATTTTTCAGCCTGGCCTGCCACCTGTTACGATTCTTTCAATGAACTGCTACCTCCTCACGTCGCCGCCTATTTTGCGACACTACGACCCATCGGCACCCACAGAGATCCACACCGACGCTAGTGGTGTCGAGCTAGCCGCTATTCTTGCACAGCAGAAAGACGGCTTCCAAGAGTACGTGGTTGCCTACGCAAGCCGAACTCTTAGCAAAGCCGAAATCAACTATTCCGTCACTGAAGAGGAATGCGTCCCCATTATTTGGGCGATAGAGAAATTTCGACCTTACGTGTACGGGCGCCCTTTTGATGTCGTGACTGACCACCACGCCCTCTGCTGGTTGTCGTCACTGAAGAATCCAAGCGGTCGCCTCACCAGATGGGCATTACGCCTCCAAGAATATAATATTCGCGTGGTCTATCGCTCCGGCCAGAAACATTCGAACGCAGATGCCCTATCCCGTTCGCCCCTACCCTCTAACCCGGACTTTTGCGAAAGTCTAACCTGTGATGACACTGCCGTCACCATCGCCGACATGCCATCTGAGCAACGCAAGGACCCTTAGGTTGCTTCGATTCTAGACATCCTAGCTGGGCGGACGGCTTCCCCCCCTTCTCGCGCGTTGCGCCGGCAAGTCGAGCACTTCACCACTCGCGACGACGTGCTGTACCGACGCAACTACACACCCGGTGAACATCAGTGGCTACTCGTGATTCCACGTCATCTGCTATCCGAAATTTGTTCCCCGTTTCTTGACGACCCCCAATGTGGCCACGTAGGTTTCCTGAAGACTTATTCTCGCATACGTCTCCAATATTACTGGTGTGGCATGTATTGTTTTATACGACAATACGTTCGGGCCTGCTCGACGTGCCAGAGACGAAAAACTCCCCCTTATCACGCCAGCGGTACCTTGTTACCCTTACCATACCCATCCCGACCATTCGGCCGCGTCGGCATCGATATCTATGGTTCCCTTCCCAACACTGCTGACGGTAACCGCTGGATCATAGTTGCCATCGACCACCTCACGCGGTAAGCCGAAACTTCATTCCTTCCCTCGTCTACAACAAAAGATGTTGCGACTTTCATTCTTCACAACATCGTATTACGTCATGGAGCACCTCAAGAGTTACTGAGTGATCGTGGTCACGTATTCTTGTCAGACGTCATCACAGCATTGCTGCGTGAGTGTCACGTCGTTCACCGCACTACAAGCGCCTATCATCCCCAGACTAATAGAATGACAGAGTGCTTCAACCGCACCCTTGTTGATATGCTGTCTATGTGCATCTCGTCAGACCACTCCAATTGGGACCGAGTGCTCCCGTTTATCACATTCGCCTGTAATACCGCCATTAAAAGCACGTACGTGAAAGCACGCACGTACGCGTTTTACGTACGCGAACCTTCTTGCACATGGACACCATTCTTTCGTACAGACCTGACTCCTCAGAGTCCACGACACTGTCTCAAGCCGCTACATACGCTGAAGAATGCCCCCAACTGGCAAGATCATTCACAACCCAAGACCAAGGACGCCAAAAGCACCATCATGACACATCAATTAACACTACTTCCTACGATCCAGGTTCACTCTTCTGGCTGCATGTCCCTTCTGCTACACCTGGCCTTCTACCAAGTTGGTCCCCACCAAGTTGGTCCCCAAGTATAACGGCCCATATCGTATAGTACGAAAAACATCACCGGTGAATTACTTCATCGAGCCACTGGAACCATCTTCTGACCAACGTCGTCGTGGCCAGAAAATTGTCCACGTGTCGAGACTTAAGCCCTGCTATGACCCTCCCGTGTCTACTTGTCCATAGGTCCCCAGGATGGCTCCTTATTTCGCGGAGAGTAATTGTAATGAATCTGAATAACGGACGCTCTGCTGTTACTGAAGAAAACGATGACCGTCGGTGACAGTAGTAGAAGCTCTCGCACGCCGCTCGCCAGAGCCAGGCCTGCCTCATAAAGCACATTTTGC